TTGATAAATTCAAGCACGATTTAATTAATTTTAAGTTTGGTTTTTAATTTTTTTAGATTAATATGGGTGTCTAAATGAGCTTACATGTACCTCAATTAATTTTACAGGTCATGAGATTAATGACCATATAATTTTATAATAGCTCTGAGATTTGTGAAACTTGAACTAATAATCTCTAGGAAAAAAATTCAGAATTTGACTAATTAAACTATATTTTTTTAAGTTTAGCTTGGTTTTTAACTTAATAGTAGGAGATTTGTTTTCTTATGATCAAAATTTGAAAAAAATTACAAATTAACATGATGGATTATCATTTAAGATTGAGTATCAATCACAAGCTAATACGCTGTACAAGAAAAATGTTATAAAAACATGAGATAAAATTAAAAGATAATAATCAATCAATTAAGGATAAAAGTTCTTACTTAAAGTTTATGTAGATGTCTTTATGGTAGACCTGATGATATAAATTCCACATAATATCTTTCTTTTAATTTCTTTATCTACTAACTTCTAATAAAAAAAAATTGATTTTCGTTTCTTCTAATTAAGAATTATATATAAGGTATATAAATTTATAAGGTAATGCTTCTTTGCTTCAGAAACTTCTATTGTTTTTTCTAAACTAGTGAAGATTATTTTATTTGTACAAGTTTTATTTATAATATATGGCATTAGTTGTATAACTAGTAAGTGATGATTATATGATTTCGATAAATAGTAATTGTTCTTTGGAATGGAATTAATTATGAATATAAAGTGCAAATTTTTGAGTTAGTGAGAATAATAACTAGTCAATAGATATTTTATAATTCAAAACTAATTACACAAAAAAAATATATTGTCACCTATTAAGTATCAATTGTTATTTGGAATGGGATTAATTACCAAGTGTAAATTCTTAAATTAGTAAGAATCCTAATTAGTCAATGGAGATTTTATAATTTGAAATTGGTTATGCAAAAGAAAAGATATTGTCATCTTTTAAGTGTCCTACTTAAAACAGATTGCATTGCTAATCTTATCTTAAATTGTTAAGAGTTTGTTTTTTTAGTTTATTTTTATAGTCATCCTATAATATTCATGACTATGGTATTAATGAATATTTGCTTATGAATATTTTTAATTTTGGTGTCAATAAATATTATGTAACAGAAAAGATATGGTATTTCCAACTTTGACACCAATAAATAAATTCATTAAATTTGAATTAAAAAAAATTATTTTTTTATTTTCTAGAAAGACAAAAAAAAAAAGACATGCATCGCATTTTATATTTGCATTTTACAGTAAAACTTTACAAATAAAATATACAACAAAGCTAATAAAAAAATGTTAGGGATTCATAAATAAATAAATAAAAACCTTTAAATTTTTTTAGACTGTTTTGATATTTAAAAAGAATTTATTTAGCTAAATATCAAAAGAAAAAAATGTGAAATAAAACAAAAATGTATAAGAGTGCATCTTGTGAAACAATTCTTAGCCCAAAACAATTTAGGCTAACTGGATCCAGATCTAGCATGGTTTTTTTTTTTTTAATTTTTTTTTATTCTTTTAAGTTGGATACAGCCAGGTTTTTTAGGTTGGAGATAGCCCGTCCATCCAAGCTGGTTGAACCAACCACATCAGCCTAGTAACTAGGCTGGCCACTTGCAGGCAAGCGTGAATTATTCACGTAAGCTTACAACAGTGCCAGAACAATTAAATTTGCAAGCGAGGGAAGGAGAGCGACTCACGTGCTTCATACGCTGTTGGAGACGAAGTGGATGACGATGGCGTGCTGGCTGTTCCTCTGCTTCTGCTTCTGTTTTCTCTTTAGTTCTCTGGGTTCCGTCTCTCCCTCTTCCTCTCTCTGTCTGTCGTTCCTTTTTTCTGCGTTGTTTTCCTGTCGTTCCTCTGTGTTTTTCTCCTGTTCGTTCCCTCTGCTGTGTTCTGTGTGTTTCGTTCCCCTGTTGTGTTCTGTCTTTTTCGTTCTTCTTCTGTCCTTCTGGCCTTTCTCTTGTTTATATAATGCCAGAGAACACCATGAGTTCGTGCTCCGGTAATGGCATTTGGGAGATGCATCGTGGGCAGCTGGCAGAGACAAATCGTTTCTTCTTCCTACTGAATCAGTTTTCCTTGGGTTAATGAAGAAGGTGATGAGCAACGGCTTTAGAAATGACGCCTTTTTTTGTTTTTTTCACTAAAATGGCTATTCTTAATTTGGCCCCTGAACTTCTGACATTTAACAATTGGACCCTTGTTCATGGAAAAATCTTTTTTTTTTAATTCTGCCCCTGGATCAATTGCAATTGAACCCCTGGATTTTAATGCTAATTACAAAACAGTGCTTGATTTCAAATTTAATCAATTCAGTCCTTAATTGACTCTTCAACCAATTAACCCCTTATGATACCACCACCTATTCAATTTGCTCATTGGACTTTTAACTTGCAATTTCGATCCAAAATCAGTCATAAATTTTGATATTTTTTTAATTAAGCCCTTGATTGATTAATTGATTAAATAAAAGTTTAATTAAGTTCCCAAACTTATCATTTCTTTCAATTTTGACCAACTTGGCTTCCAAAGTTATACTTCATCCTTATTAATCTTTAGACTTTTAATTTGTATTGTCTTGATCTAATTTTTAAATTATTATTTACTTATTATTATTATTATTATTTAAAATTTAAAAATTGAGTTATGACACCTAGTATAGCATAAAAGCCAAAAGTTTTTTTTAAAATAGAAAGATTGGTTTTCTCTTTTTTTTTTTCCCAAGTTAAATTCAGGTATGTTCAATAGTAAATTCTCAAATGAACTTGTATCAATTTGTATGGAAGCATAAATCTTCTTATTAGCTAGGTTAAGGCCACTTATTATAACCAAATCATATAATGAAATGACATGTATTTAATTTCTTAATAAAAACATGTTAGACTTTAATTAAAATAGATATAGGGTGGTTAAAATTAAGATATTGAGCTCTAAAAAAACTCCAAACACCTAAATCAAGTAAAAAAAACCTTTTATGCCTCCATTGATCACCAAAATGGTGTTGCATTTTTTTTTTCATCTATTGTAATCAATAAGAGAAACATTATAACATAATGGATTTTTTTTTTAGGTGATTAAATTGATGTGATTATCATGAAGGTGATGTCTTTCATTTTCAATGTCTAAAGTGAAGTGAAGAAGAAAGTGAAGTGATGATTTTCTTCTTATTTAGGTACCTTCTTGAAAAATAGACTAAGATGTTACTCTTCTGCATTTTTTATTAGACTAATTATGAAACAATTAATATAGGGCATATAGTCTATTTAATTTTGATATATGTAAATTTTATTGAAATAGAGTTTAAGAGTGATATTTTTCAAATAGAAAAACAATGCTTAAGGTTTTTGATTGATTTTTTATGAAAAAATCTTTGAGTTTGAAAAAGGGATTAGAGATTTTTTTTTTGTAGGAATTGAAAGATCAAGTACAATTTATAGAATGTTAAGTATCATATCTAAAGATAAATGTATATTATATTTTAAAATTTAACTGATTATCTAAAGTTATTGACATGTTAGACATATCTTAAAAAACAAAAACATGATTCATAGTTTTTAGTGAACAATATCACTTGTCATGCCATATAAGACCAATCAAATTTATCAATTTCAAGTATAAATATGATGATAGTATATGGCCAACTTGTCACCTAACCTCTTTAAATATTATGTAAATTGTAAAAGAAAAATGATTATTAAAAAAACACGATAAAAAAATGGAAATCAATCCAGTGAAATGAACATTAAAAAAGTCTTGATTGACTAAGATAATTAAAGAACCCAACGACTAGAGGTCATGATTAAATTAAGGAAGAGTGATTAATTATAAAAGTTTGAACACACATAAAAATCATAAAGTTTAATTCTATTTAAAATAAAAGTATTTTATAAAATAACTAATCAAAAATCACATATTAATTTGGGATTCCCACGACTGTCAATAAAAGAGAAGTTTAGTTTGTATTAGGATTAAATCAATTGTCTTTTTTTATAACAATATTTGTATAAAATTGTTGGTACATGTTTATATAGGATTAAAACTATGCATTAATATAAATAGGGTTATTTAACAAAATATTAAAAGAAATAATTTTTTTTTATTATGTATCACATAATGAGAGTGTATTTGGTATTGCGGTAGCTGTTATGGTTGTGGTTTAAAAAAAGTTATCTTATAAAAAGTACTTTTAATTGAGGTTATTTACTCTATACTAGTTTTTTTTTAAATATTATTCACATCACAATGCGAGTGAATTTAATTTACTCTAAACTAATATTTTTTTTTTAAATTATTCAAACAATTTTAACACTGAAAAAAAAAAGCACTTGAACAGTGCAATTCACTGAACAGTGTGTCTATCACAGGTTGAAGCTCTTGTAAAAAAGCAGTATTTTACTGCTTCTAAAAAATCATGGTCCGATCGCATATAAATGACGAGACCTATGTATTTTGATGGTTTAACTATTTGTAACCAAACGATTATTTTTTGTGTTTTTGAAAAAACACAAACGTTTAACACAGCTCAGCAAAACGGGCTCTAAAACACTATTCATTTTAATAATAAAAAAAACTAATTGTTATGATTTAAAAAAAACAGGGGCATGCCACTTTTTAATTGGTGGGAAAAAGAAAATAATTTAGGAGTGTTTTACCATTCTAATATAGTTTGATAAATTTTTTGAGAAAATAACATAGGTTATTAATACAATCGCTATTGAGAATAGTAATTGTTTCAAAATTCATGTTTTATTTAAATTAATTAATATTGTACAAAAATCAATACAAAATCTTATAAAGATTGAATGACCACATATGCAAGATCTAAGAGAGAGGAGATAAACTCGTGTAACATTAGATAGAAAGAGGGAAAAAGTATATATATATATATATATATATATATAAAGAGTCACCCGGAACATGCTAGACTTTGTTTTTAACGTACATGATCCCATTAAAAATATTCCGGCAAAATGATTTTAACTATTCATTGGACGACCGCAAGTATATCTATCTATATATGTCGAGGCAGTGGCTCGAGGGTCATTTGTGATTCTGATCTCTTTGTGAATTATAGAGAGATGAGAAGTGAGAAGTATGTTCCTCTGTTTGAGACAAAGGGAGCTAGGGGTCTGGTCTTGTATAGGTCCTTTGCAGCGACTTTGTTTGTGGGCGTATGTTTGATATTGTTTTACAGAGTAAGCAACATGCCGAGAGATGGAGAAGAAGGGAGATGGGTTTGGATTGGGTTGCTTGGAGCTGAGCTCTGGTTCGGTTTTTACTGGGTCCTCACACAAGCTCTCAGGTGGAACCAGGTTTACAGGCTCACCTTCAAGGACAGGCTCTCTCAAAGGTATAAAGCAAAGTTTTTCTCTTCGTGCAGGAAATAAAGGGGAAAAGAATAGCTATACGGAGCTCACATTAATGTTCTTGTTTCTATTGTGTCCGAACAGATATGAGAAAGACTTGCCTCGGGTGGACGTATTTGTGTGCACGGCAGACCCCGTGATAGAGCCACCGATAATGGTGATGAACACTGTTTTATCGGTCATGGCTTATGATTACCCACCGGAGAAGCTTGCCATTTACCTGTCGGATGATGCCGGATCGGATCTAACTTTCTATGCTCTCTTGGAGGCATCTAGATTTGCAAAACAATGGATACCATATTGCAAGAAGTTCGACGTGCAACCAAGGTCACCAGCTGCTTATTTTGAATCCAAGTTCCCTACAGGAGACGGTGGCGGTCAGAGTCAGACTATGGACTTTACGGCTATCAAGGTAAAAGTCAACCTTTTCGCTCCTATTTACCAAATTAAACCTTGAGTTTGCAATCTTTCTTGTTTTTTCTTGACTTGCGGGTGTCCAAAGGCACTGAGAGTGGGATTGATATATAATTTATCCAATTAATTAGGATTAAAGTAGAAGCAGGAACAAAGGACTGGGTCATCCATGACGTACAAGTCATGGATAACCAAGAACAGATTTGCTCCAATGAATCTGCAGTTGATGTGCAATAGTCAGTGCAAATACCTGTATTATTGATGAATAATTGAGCAGCTTCTGCTGACCTTTTTTTTTAAATTTTTTTAATTATTATTTTCTTCACCACTTAAATTATTGTCTAGCCTTTTTGAAAAAAAAAAAATTGAAAGTAAAAGATGCTGTGATTAAAATGAATAGAGGAATGCTATAAAACTTTTTAAACAGATTAAATTCTCATATAAACAAGCACGTAAATTCATTTTTTCATAAAACCAATCATTTAAATTGATAGAATCCATGTATATTTAATCATGTATAATTAATATAGCTTGCTATCCTTCTTCGTAGAATTTGTACCAAGAAATGGAGGATCGAATTGAAACAGCAACCATGCTAGGAAGAATCCCTGAAGAAGCACGCTTGGAACATGAGGGATTTTCTCAGTGGGATTCTTACTCATCGAAACGAGATCATGACACCATTCTTAAAGCAAGAACTTTTGACACCAGTATATGCTGGCATTATTTTTCTTATTTCAATTTATATAATTATGGCTAGAAACTCGACCAGATAATTTCTCCGAACTAGCTGTTTGATAATTGTTTATTTTCTCTCTTCTTGCTGCCAGATTTTGATTGACGGGAAAGATCCATGTTCCACGGATACTGATGGGAGTGCATTGCCTACTTTAGTATACTTGGCTAGAGAAAAGAGACCCCAACATTTCCACAATTTCAAAGCTGGGGCTATGAATGCTTTGGTAACCTGTATATGCTTGTTCGTTTACATGCTTATCATGGGCAGTACCCCCAAGCAAGGATACCTAACACATTTACGAAAATAAATGTGCAGATAAGAGTGTCATCAAAGATTAGCAATGGACAGATCGTTCTCAATCTAGACTGTGATATGTACTCAAACGATCCACTAACTGTGCGGGATGCACTTTGCTTCTTCATGGATGAAGAAAAGAGCCATGACATTGCTTTTGTGCAGTTCCCACAGTGGTTCGCAAACGTTACTAAGAATGACCTATACAGCAGTTCCTTTCGTGTAATCTCCAATGTGAGTAGTAGTATATACGTTGTATGCACATCATTGTTCAATCTTTTAATATTTCAAATGAGAGGTTCGAGGTTCGTCATTAATTATTTCACTTCTTTTTCACATGTTGATCATGAAGGTGGAATTCCACGGTACGGATGGTTATGGAGGCCCTCTTTATATCGGAACTGGCTGCTTTCACAGGAGAGATACTCTTTGTGGAAGGGAATTCAGTCAGGATTCTAAGATTGAATGGAAAAAACATGACGATAATAGAATACAACAAAGTGTTCACGAATTAGAAGAAGAAACAAAAACGCTTGCAAGCTGCACTTATGAGCAAAATACAAAATGGGGGAATGAGGTAAACATACAGCCTACCTGCTTTTATCATTCGATATTATAAAAGTAAAAGAAACATAGTTAAAATTTTATGAAATGAATGTTTGATTACAGATGGGGTTGAAATATGGATGTCCAGTGGAAGACGTGATTACAGGGTTGTCTATCCAATGCAAAGGATGGAAATCAGCATATTTCAATCCAGAAAGGAAAGCATTCTTAGGTCTTGCACCAACCACCTTGCCTCAGGTACTCGTGCAACACAAACGATGGTCTGAAGGTGATTTTCAGATTTTGTTCTCCAAGTACAGCCCTGCATGGTATGCACATGGCAGGATTAGCCTTGGCCTTCAACTGGGGTATTGCTGCTACTGTTTCTGGGCTTCTAACTGCTTGGCAACTCTGTACTACTCCATCTTTCCCTCCCTTTTTCTCCTGAAAGGCATATCCTTGTTTCCCCAGGTATATTCTTCTTTTGTTTATCCCATTTCCTATCAAACGTGCCTTCACCTAATATCCCTATTCCGCAGTTACACGATTGACTTCTTACTAGTGCTAAAAAGACCCTCTAAAAACAGCTGCACTAGTTAGCTTAGCTAGGAGGACTCTAAGGGAAATCCTTGAATATATAGGAGAATTACTTTTTCCGTAGAAGATGAGCTTGACTATATTTTTCTGCTACTGCTGCTCCAGGTTTCGAGCCCATGGTTCCTACCATTTGCATATGTGATATTTGCCAAATACATTTACAGCCTAGCTGAGTTTCTCTGGGCTGGCGGGACAGTCCTAGGTTGGTGGAATGACCAAAGAATTTGGCTATATAAAAGAACAAGCTCCTATCTCTTCGCCACTATCGACACCATTTTGAAGACACTAGGATTTGGTGATACAGCATTTGAAATCACAGACAAAGTAGCAGATGAAGACGTCTCGAAAAGATACGAGAAAGAGATGATGGAGTTTGGAGCCACCTCTCCGATGATCGAAATCTTATCCACGCTTGCGATGCTCAATTTATTTTGCCTTGTCGGAGCAGTGAAAAAGGCGATCATGAATGAGAGCATTGATAGACTTCATGAGACAATGCCATTGCAAATTCTACTTTGTGGGGTTTTGGTCCTCGTCAACTTGCCTCTGTATCAAGGCCTTCTTCTAAGGAAGGACAAGGGTCGGATGCCATGCTCTGTTGCAGTTAAATCTTCTTTAGTAGCTCTCCTTGTTTGTACCGCTTTTTCTTTCCTGTAATAATCTCCTCTTCCTTTTTTTTATTATAATTTCCAAGTTCAAATCTAAGGAATTAATAAGATGTGCTTGCAAAGAATCATCTTCTCTTCATTGCGAAGGCTGATATCGAAGATTACTTGGGTATGATAATTATACTTTGTATGCTTGATGAGATTGTTGGTCTTAGTGGCTGTTCGATATCTCCATTGGTTTGATGGATACATGGTATATGCTATTGTTTATTGTGTGATATCAATGATGCTTCATTGAAGAACTTGCTACTTAACGTGCTCTTTATTATGGGCTGAATATATATCATTCTAAAAAGTATATAAGCAGATTTTTACGATGTATTTTTATATATAAAAAATTTTCAAGTAAAATTTAAAAAATTTATATATACATTTAATTAAATAAATTAAGAAAAAATATTATAAAATATGATACTTATTCAACCAAAATTACTAAGCCAAATTTATAATTTAGATCATGGAATTAACAGGCTTTAACAATTTTTTTTTATAATTTTTTTAATTTATAATAGATATTTATAAAATTAAGAAGCAACCAAATATCAAGGCAATTGAAAAAAAAATCAAAATAAAACAAATCATGTTGCCTAGATAATAATCAACCACATATCAAGTGATGAAATTGAATAAAAAATAAATAAGATTTTTTTAAAAAATCAAATTGTAATGAATAAAAATTAAAAAGAAAAAAAAATTTAGTCTCTCGAGTTAGGAAGGCCCAAAGCTCTTCTGCCTCCAGAAAAAGGCTTAGTCCTTATTTTAAAAAAAAATTCTTAACTTGTCATCCACTCTTTAAATCTTTGAAAAAATCACCGAGATAGATGACGCGTCGCCTTCCTTGTTTAAATTTACCGTCGTCCACTCCTTAATTCTTTGAAAAAAATCAACAAGGTAGATAACGCGTTGCCTACCTTGTTTAAATTTTGGGTTGCTGAAAAACCAAGCTAGCATGTTTCAAATTAAGAAAAATCCTTTTTCAACCATATTTTGATTAAAAAAAAACCAAACCCTAAGATCTTTTTTCAACCATATTCATAGCATCTAACAACCCAAAAATTGGCTCAAAAATCCACAAAAGGAAAACTGCCTCAACACAAACTAAAAATTCCTTTTGAGTTCAAATCTACCATTTTAGGAAATTTTAAGGAAAATAAAACACCTTGAATAAACTCTTCCCGTCAAAAGGAACTCATTGCACTAAAATAACTCTTTTTTGTGGCTAGAATCAATCTCAACCGAAACTTTCTTTCTTTACCATCAAAATCCCAGCACCTTTTCTCTTCTTTCTTAAATTAGGGATCAAAAAATTAAAAAAAAAAAACAAAGTTCGTAACCAAAATTAGATTTCATGAATTTTTAGGAACTAAAAATATATAATTTGAAAAGTTGGAGGAGTAAAGTGTATGTTTAGCTACAAGTTTAGAAAAATCACATTTTTTATTACTTTTGATTTTATTTGATTTGATTTTAGTTTAGTTTTGTATATTTAAATCTTGCCCTTCTTTAATAGATGTACTTTAACTCACCGTCAATTTGGATTACCGTCAATTTGGATTTCAGGAGTGTAATTAGATAAAAAAAAAGAAAAAGAAAAAGGATTTAAAAAACAAATTACTGTGGCAAACCATAGTGATTTGTTTCTATATGAACAACGGTGTAGGGAATAGTAATTTCCCCAAGCCTTTTAGAGTATTTCTTAATTATTCAACTATAGTTTTTACCAAATTTTCATTCATTGATTGTTAGGATATCCAAATCCCATATATAATATTTATTGTAAGGACGGAACTGAAAAAATAATTTTAATTATATAAAAGAATTCGTAAAAAAAAAAAGCAATCAAAAGATTGAGGATTAAAATACAAAATAAATTTAATCTTTAATTAAATAGTGAAATTGAAAAGAAAAATTAATTTAATAACAAAAAAATCAAATGGATGAAGATCAAAATTGAAATAAGAAATACAAATAAATTTTTGATTATAGGGTGAAATTTAAAAGAAAAATCAATTTAACAAAAGACCCACAAAAAAATGAATACCAAATTGAAAAAAAAACAATATATGATAAATTAGGATTGAATGATGAAATTTAAAATAAATAAATATCTACAACAGGACGAATTAAAAAAATTAGTAAATCAACAAAATATAGACTAAAGTTGAAATACCAATAACAAAGAAGACCAAATTGTAATTTTCAAGGGAAGAAAGAAAAAAAAAACAAAAAAGAATGCCTTATCGACAACAAACTCTACATCAACAAGAAAAAAATATGACAGCACCTTTAATGACATAATGAAATTATATTTTTTGAATGCTGAGAGGCATTACACATGCAACCTAAAGTGTGTATGCCCCTCCATGCATAACCTTAAGTGTGTGGGCTCCTTTATAAGCATGCGCTTGTGCCACACGTGCCAACACTTTTTTTTATTTAAAAAATATTTAATATATGTAGAAAGACCACATTGCTCTTCATGAAATAAATAAATTAAAAAAACAAAGTGAAAAGACCAAAAAGTCCCTAGACACATATTTTATTTATTTTTTATTTTAAAAGTAAAGGAGTCATTTTACTATGCTTTAAAAAGTAAAAAGATATAAATATCTTTGTTTGTTAGTTTCAAAGATTGTAAGTTAAAAAGTAACTAAATTATTTTACTATACTTAAAAAAATATACATAATCTTAATTAATCATTTAATAACTAATAAGTTTTGAGAAAAGATATAAATACCCTTTACATCAAAGTATTTGATTTTTTTACAATAATAAAAACATAATTACAATAGTCTAGTGAATAATATAAATGAATATATGTCCACAGTTAATGGGAATGGGAAGGGTATATTGGCAAGGATTGCTTGACATTCCCAAGTCAAAAGATAGCCCTTTATACCATTTGCGTTCATTGTATGTTTGCCACGTGTATCTGTAATGCATATTAGGGTCACATGAAGAGAGCATGTGTTACCAAAAACTGAAAACGTAAAAGGCTGTTTAACAAGAGTAAGTTCTAACTTATTCATTGTAGTTTAACAAAATTAATAATTTATTTTGTGGTTTTAGAAACTACATATCTTTTCTCTGTATTCTTAAATTTGTTTGCCATTAAAAGCTGTTTAACAACTTTTTAAAATAAAATTGAATTTATTTTTTATAATTTTTTAATATTTTTAGATTGTTTTGATATATTGATATCAAAAATAATTTTTTTAAAATTAAAAATATATATCTTAATTTATTTTGAAGTAAAAAATTCTTTACAAAATAACTATTATTATACTTCCGAACATTCTTGATTTTTTTATATATTTTTTTGACAAATATAATAAAAAAATAGAATTAGGTAAAATAAGGAAATTTGACCAAGAAAGAAGGTCCTTTTACTAAATTTTTGTTGAGAATGGTCAACATTAATCAAGGGATTACTTAATTTTAATATCAACAATTACTAATTAATTATCTATACAAGGACGCGAGGGGTTAGAGGTGTAATTTACTCCCTCTTTGGCAATCCAATGCCTTATAAATGTCAACAGGGTAGTTGGTTTGGCCTGTAAGAACGTGCCACGCAGATAGAAATAGATTTGTAGTGTACTCAAACACAGGGAATCAAGGCTAGACGGAGACACACCAAATCCTCGAGCAGAAGAGAAGAGAAGTACTTTGGTGTCTTCTCTTTGGTTCGAAAGTCGAAGGGTTTTCTCTCGCTTACATTTCGATAAACTTATTAATCATTCAGCTTATCGATTCAAATCCAATCCTTTAAATTCCAATAATTCAATGGTAAATTACCTTCATTTATCTTTTCTTTCTTTAATGGATTTGTTAATGAAGGAGTGATTTGATCCCTTTCTTTTTAATTATTATTGGTGCTGTTGTTTTAGCTTCAAAAGAAGAAAACTCTTTTCATTTCCTTGTTTCTCTTGGCAAGCAATCATAAGATCTAATGTAAATTATTGCTATGATTTTTAGGTTATTTTGATCTCTTCCTTTCTGTTTTCTTTTTGAAACACCATCTAATCTTTATTTTTATGAGCTAAATTTAATTATGGGTTTTTTTTTTGTTTTTTTTTTCTGGCTGTAACAATTACTACCAAGTGTACAACTCCTCTCAAATTTTTATGTTTTTTTTTTTAAATTCTGCAGTTAATTATATGTCTTACGTTTGTGTATTATTCATTACAATTTGGGGGTTATTTAATTCTGTATATTTTGATGATTTGCATAAGTTACAGACCCTGTACTTAGAAATTCTCCTTTCGATCCACAGATGGGAATTGCGCTAAAAGGATATTTTGTTGTTTTATTGCTGGCACTGTTATCAAGCCCAGAAGCCGTGTTTGGAATTAGATTTGTGATTGATAGGGAAGAATGCTTCTCTCATGATGTTAAATATGAAGGAGATACAGTTCATGTTTCCTTTGTTGTAGTTAAGGTTGATTCGTCTTGGCATTATAGCGATGATGGTGTTGATCTGGTGGTAAGCCCTCTCTGTCTTTCTGACAGCCGGTTCTTTTCTTCTATTTTTTATGCCTAGGTAGATTAATTTCCTAGGACTATCTTTTGATTTGCGTTATGCATAAGCAGGCATCACTGTTTGAAGTGCAATTCAACTGCGTGAGATATAATTTGGCCTTTCAGTTTTTGGCCGTTGAAGCAATGTGAAGATAACTATTCTAGCAACCTTTTGTCCTACTATTTATTTTTTCCGTGAATCTGCATGATTGTTCCCAATCCGTTGACCTCCTTGTACTAGCAGTAGTTCTGCATCTCTTAAACATGTCCCCTTCCTTCCCCTCGCCCCATCTTGCTCTTCTTTCTTACTGGTAAAAAATCCAAAGGCCTATGTGAAACTTGCTTCTGGGCTGCAGTTCATCATCTTTCCATGTCATATGAAATGTAAAACAAAGGATCACTTCCTTTTGCTTGGTATCTTTAGCATGTTTGAGGTTATTATGTTATGGTAGAAGCAGCAATGTTTATGAAGCTAGTCTCTAATCCACTTAGATAATTTCAATAAGGCACTGGATGCGTGCTGATTCTGACATGTTTCTTCTGTTCCATGCCTGACAATTTATTTATTTCTGCTTTGGAAAGATTTTCCTCATCTTGTAGTTTTCTGGAATCAAACCTTTTTCTTTTTTTGTAATCTTCTAAATACTGGCAAAATGGTGTTTTGTATCCTTTTCAACTTAAATGTGTTATACGAACCATCATTGGTGTTCATAAGGAGAAATGGTTAGACTAGTAGCCATGAAGGCTAAAGGTTAAACCAGCATACCTGACATGTGTGGCAATATCATGTATTAGTCTAGCAAAAATTATTTTGAGGAGAAGGTTTATATAGTTGATACTTGCAGAGATTTTATATCTGATAAACATGTTTGGAATAAGGCTTTCCCTGTACTCTTTTATTTTGACATCTATTAGTGCTTGCAAAAGTGATTGGAATGATAGAAATCATGGAGGTAGAACCATTCATATACGATCTACGAATAATGGTATGTTGGATGGATGCCATTAGATGAATGGACAAGGATTACATGACAATCATTTTTGGAGTTTTTTGGTTACTTTTACAGGAAAGAATCCTAAATTCTTAAGGCACACCGTTGGAGAACAGCAGTTAATAAGAAGCTTACAATAGGCATCTTGCTTCCATAATATGTAGATGGAGTAAAATATTAAAAGCTGCTAGGAAGACAAACTTACACATTACCAGAAATCCCATGTTCTTTTATTTGTCACTCGGATATTTAGTTGGAACACAGTTTTCTTAACTTGGAAGGCTTTCTCTAAAGATTGATATAGCCAAACTAACAGATTTCTCGGAAGTAGGATGATTTTTCATGTTCCTATATTTAGATTGTAATGGCTATCAATGATGAGATTTCAACTATTGTATGTCTCAAGTCTTATCAGGCTGGGAACAGTTGATACTTTGTTATATTGTCAATCATTCCTGTCCTGACCCATCAACGGTTTTGAAATTGCAGGTGAAGGGACCTTCTGGTGATCAGATTCATGATTTCCGTGACAAGATAAGTGAGAAAATTGAGTTTGTGGCACATCAGAAAGGAGTCCACCGTTTTTGCTTCACTAACAAGTCTCCTTACCATGAAACCATTGACTTTGATGTCCATGTTGGTCACTTTTCATACTATGACGAGCATGCAAAGGATGGTAAGCAGTAATTTGGTGTACTTCATGTTTTTTCATTGCACTGAATCCTGAGAATGGTGAGGTTGGTGCTGTTTTGTTGTATATTTGCAGAGCATTTTCAGCCATTGTTGGAACAGATATCTAAATTAGAGGAGGCTCTCTACAACATTCAGTTTGAACAACATTGGCTAGAGGCTCAGACTGATCGCCAGGCAATTAGTATGTTCAAGATCTTTTCCCTATTTTGTTATTTAATTGATGTAAGGTCTGCTTTTTTCGCTTTTTCTTTCCTTTCTTGATGCCTAGACTTCACTAATCACACTTACCCATCTTTCTTCGGTTCTTCAGTCTTGTTAGTAGGACATTTTCCTGGCTTCAAACTGAATAAGATATGCTGCATAGCTAGATTTTCTTACTACCTAAACTGTAAAAAACTTTTAAATTTGTAATTTCCTTGCCCCTCACTCTCACCTTTGATGCTGGGGTTGATGTTGGTGGAAATAAAAATTAGTTAACACACCGAAATACACTTGATTCTTGTATTCCCAAGCTCCCAAAAGCGTATATAACCCTTTTAGACAAAAGAATGAATTTCCTATAATCATTTTGTTGTCTAACAAATTTCACTGGTTGTGGATGCAGTAAATGATGCAATGAGCCGGAGGACGATTCACAAGGCCTTCTTTGAATCTGCAGCACTTGTCGCCGCTAGTATTCTGCAAGTTTACCTGCTCCGCCGCCTGTTTGAGCGAAAGCTTGGGATGTCCAGAGTTTAGATTGGGCATGCTGCATGTTACTTGTACCAAGTGCAAGCTGAGCAGGATTTCAAACTTTTCTATCATACTTTGATGTTTTAGCGGGAAAAGAGCACCTGTAGACACCGCCTTTTAAAACTTTTTTGATAATGGAATTAACTTTTATGGTTTTTTCAGATGATTTTAGCTGTTCTTCAGGCAATCTTTGTCCTTGAGCAAGGCCCACAAGTTTTTCACTTGTGGAAACGGGATTCGAACTTGGCCTTCTCTTTAGAGAATATGTTGTCTTAAAACTGTTTTTGCATTTTCACCATCGGCCGCCAGCTGAAGTGGTGTTTCTTCGGCCATCCAGAAACATTTTCTCCGTAGTTTATCAAGCCCACAATTGGCTACGGGCCAGCTAACCAGTAGAGCAGAAGGATAACCTAATGCATAGCAAGGGTTTGTTTTCTTTATCCAATCCTCCAAAACTGTTTCAAGGTTTAGATCTAGAGTACGAGTATCAAGTGATGGAGGAACGACCAAAGTTGTCCGAATGCCTTGGAACAAGCGAGGTGAAGGATTTCCTAATAATTTGAAGAGTCAAGTTAACAAATTTAAAATATAGGTAAGCAAAATATTGAAAAATTGATTAAACTGAGAAAACTTAAAACAATAATTAACAAGATTTGAATTAATTAATTAAAAAATCTAAAACAATTTCAATTTGCTTTGGCTTTAAATGTGTGAATTGAATTGAACTGAATTGGTTCAACCATCACTTAAAAAAAAGCAATTAATCTCAAAAGTAATTCCCATATAAATAAAAATATGGTCCCTTACTTGTGTTTGTGCAAAGATGGAATGGTAAATGCAGCAATTGTGTTGTTGGCAAACATTCCAAGTAGAAGGTTCTAGCCGAAGATAGTCATCTATAAAATTATTCTTAGGTTAACGACAATGATTGAAAATGGTTGTTAGCCAAATAAAACTATTTACATAGTTGGTTGAAGGTATTAATTTCTCTTAATTAAGAGCTCAAGAAATGAAGAAATTTATAGAAATTTCTTTAGATAATCATCGGGAATATATTGAAAAGGTTATTAAACTAATAGCCAAAGTAATGGACTTAACTAATTCAATAGCTAATAGCCAAGTCATAGATTTAACTAATTCTCTTTACAATGTTAATAATATTTTTAAAGACTTAGACCTATAAATGTTGAAAATTAGTTTCTATTCTTGAAAGTCTTAAATGAATCAATTTGTTGGTTTTGTTGGTTTTTAACAACATATACCAAACTAAACCAAAACCAATCAGTTTAAATGAGTTTCAATTTGGGTTTGATTTTGAATTAAAAAAAATTCAATTTGGTTCTTGGTGACTCTTCTTTGTTCTCTAAAACCATTTCTTTGAAGCCTGACCTTTTTATAATTTAATGTTTTTTTCTTTTTTTTGCTGTAACATCTGCAACCCTGCTTTAAGATCTTCAATGCACCACCTTGCTGTGTTGCCAAGTTATAAAAGCTCTTCAGAAAAGAATTTAAAAATTATGTATTTCACAAACAAAGCCCATTACATGAAACTAAACGACACGAAAGCTCTACAGCTTACAACATGAGAGAAAGCAAAGAGAAGAAAAACATTCCGATTCATGATAGATACAATAATTGTGTATTTGCTCTTTCCCCCCACCACAACTCAGTTTTACAACACAAAAAAACAAATTCCAGGAGTACTCGTCAACACTCTACAGCTCCTATCTTCTTTGGTAAATACATTGTGGGGCCACAGATAGACGAACATACACTTCTCTTGAAGCTCTTACGTGGGAAAGGCACCGTCAAGAGTCCACCTGCGGACTTTGGATGCAGCAGAACCATTTTTTCTGAAAAACAGTAAATTATCCACGTTAGAAAGATGATAAACATAACACCCATGAGCTTGTGAGATAAAAAAAATAAAAAACTGTAGCCCACCCATGAATTATATGTGACATTTCTATGCTGATAATTTTAGAGGGAACTTGAAATGCAGCACTGAATAATGTCTCACAATATTTATCATCTTTCCATTTCCAACCATCTAGATGGACTTTCACAAATGCGGGGGTGGGGTTGCATTACAATTGATAAGATGATAGCAGCATCCATGTGGGAGAAAGACCAAATCTCCATTCCCACAAATTTTCCAAGCAGTGATCGCTTCCTCAGATGACATGGTTAGACTATCTGATCATTCCCCCCAGATTTATGTGGCCATAAATTTTGCAACTTTCCTCAATCATCCTAATTTCTGTTACAGCTAAAAATGATATCCTTTGAATTCTGATGCAAGATGATTTACACAACATGATTGGCCACATGAAACTCAACAAAATCCAATCCAATATCTACCTGATAGGCTACATCAAATTTTTTTTCTCTCTATTTTGTTGCATATTCAACCGGGTTTTCTTTGGTAGGTGAAAGCAATAGTAAATCCCACACAATTGAAAACTGACGTGCACATAGGCATGGAAAAATAGCCATTCAAGCAAGCTGTTATACATTACTGGGAAAGGAAATGCTATCTTGGCTGCCTAATGCACGTGTCATTTGCAAGACACATACCTGCACTGTCGTAGAAGAAAATGTGTGGTTGTGTGATAAAATTAGAACTTACAGGCTGATGTTTGGCAGGATTTACTCCAGGCTTAACATGAGAATCACCAGCCTTTCCTGGTGACTCCGGTTTGCCACCTGTCTTCTTCTCATCCCTTGCCTTATTAAATATCACAGTAAATCCCTCAGCTGATGCAGGATCATTGACATCCCATTCACCAAATTTTGGCAGTGGCCGACCTGTGTCCTGCTGGGAAGAAAGACAAGAAGAGAGTTGCTGTCAAGACTCTCACAGTTGTATAGATCAGGGGAAAGCCATACATCAAGTAGCAGTGGTTTTAAATTTAACATCAAGTACTACAAAAATTTAGAAATACGATTACAGATGTTCAGTACAATAACATCATAGTTTCACTGTGGTCCAATGAAGTCAAAGGAGTCTTAACAGATAATAAACACAACCACCAAACTAACAAACCATGTGGTCTTGTTCTATAGAAATAATTCACCAGAACTGAAAACACAGAACTAAAATAAATGATAATGAGGAAACCACAAAAAAATTAAAGCAGGTTTCAAATGATCTAGTATGCCATCACATATGCGGGGAGTAGAAGAAGCTTAACAACAAACATATATAATTCTTAATGCCCATTGTCATATACATGAACAACACCTCTAAGATAACTTAGGATCAAGAACTCTATTATCTATCAGATTGAGCTCAAATAGCCCATTACAGTCAACATCTTTTGATTATCTGCTACAGCATGCAAAACTTGGCAAGGGACAGATATGCATGGCTAAAAACACGTGCATAAAAGCCGAAACCTTCCAAGTAATTATCCTTTAATTGTCAGTAAGAAATGTCAAATCTCAAAAGGGTTCTACAAATTGCAACTTGCATTGATATTTCAATTCTATATCAATACAGAAAAGGGAAAGGAAAAAAAAGGAGAAACTAATGGCCTATCGGGTCTTGGGGGATTTAAGTGCGTGTGTTTGTATGCCAAATTGTACCAAATCACTCGAACATTGGGTGATGACTTAGATACCAGAAAGATCCGGTGACGATCGCCACAAAAGAATAAAAAAATGAAGTATAATGGATGAGACATGAGATAAAAATGGCTCATTTATTAAGCTATGCTAACATATTCAACTCATCGACTTCAATCATTCAACAGGCTTCCAAAATTCTAGTCGATTCCTAACTACATGCATGTTTATGCTGGTAAGGCAACAACATACCTGAACAGCAATCCTCTACATTACAAAATGACCTTTCTTGATTCTTACAACACAAAAAGGCTCTAAAATCACCCCCTAATGAAAGTTATGAATGGCTTCCCCATCCCCTGTATTGCTCTTAGAGCTTGTAACTCTCTTAATTAACACAAAGATATTGAAGGGATACGCAAAAATGAAAATTTTCTAAATAAGCAATTACAGACACAAATAGGTCAATTCAACATACTTCCTTTTGTTTTTTAAAATGCTCTGAGCATCACATAACATGTATAGTTCATTAATTACAAGTCATAAACATAAACCAAAAAATAAAATTAAAAAAAAATCCACTTCTCTACACATTAAATATAATTTCATAAACAGCTCTAGCAAAAAGAAAATTAGTGGAAATGAAAAAAAAAAAGGGACACAAAATGAGTTGATCAAAACTATATCGTCTAAAAATAAAAAGAATAAGAACCGAGATCAAACCAACATAATTTGTTTTTAAAAAAAATATTTGTAACCAACTGAAAAGGCCAAACCATCAAAAATCTAACACAAATCAATCATAAACCAGCAAAAATAAATAAATTAAGAAACAAATATAGACAGAAGCTATAACACATAAAAACACACACATACTTGCATACAGGAATCAGCATACATATGTTCCACAGAGAGAGAAACTACATACCGACATGAATTCCAGAGAGAGACTTTTCAGCTAAAAATACTAATCAGAGAGAGCAAAGAGACGGGGAAAGAGAGAGTTTCCTTTTTTAGAGAGAGTGTAAAATGGGCCTGGAGCGGGCCTGTCTGTATTATAAACATAAAGGAGTGAGAGTAACGGAGATATTAAAGGCTGCCGTTAGTCCGTCGTCATCAATGACGTGGCAAGAGTGATTGAGAACGGCACGGGGAGTGAGCTGGAAAACGGCGTGATTGGGAGAGATGTTGGGCTCCTTGGAGGCAATCTGTACAATTGACTTGCTGGCACTCCTTTTGCTTTGTCGTATATATATTTTTTTTTGTTTTTTTAGCCAATAATTAAACCATCGATGTCTTTTACAATATATATATATATTTTAGTTTTAGATTTCTATTTTTTCATTCTCCTATTTTTCTTAATAATGAAAAAAAAAATTCTGGCTGCCTTCTATTTCATATTGCCCTTTTATTTTATTTATTGTAAGGTTATTTTAAAACCAATTTAATCTTCATGAAAAATCTTTAAAATTATTAATTATTATATAATATGATATATTTTTATTTTTTTTATTAATATAAATATTCAGGTTAATTAATATATATCTTAACTAATCTAATTGATCTGAAATTAATGATAATGATATTTTTATTTCTATTGATATGTTTTTGTGGTAAACATGACTAAAATGACTAAAATAAACGAAAAAGCAATATTGATTTTAATTAAAGAGGTGATTAAGAGCGCTTAACCCATTTCTTGTGTTTATTTCCATTAAAATGAATAGTTAAATGTCATTTGATGGCCTCATTAATCAGTAAGGATATGGACACACAATTTTTCGCTTTCGATAAAGACAAAACCCATATATCAAATAGATGGTGTCAGTCACGCGACCCCGCCATGACCAAAAATAAAAACTTAATAATAAAATTAGAGATTGTGATCATATGCTAATCACATGATTAGTCACTTCTCTCTCTCTCTCTATTAAATTGTGAGCTGTAGGTACCCTTATTCCAATATTTAAATCCTAATTTTTCTCGCTAAAATAATTAGAAATCCTTTCAAATATTTATCAAATTATAATACTAATCAAATTTATACGATATTGGAAAATAATCCTTATATATATATATATATTACTATGGTCTTTTAGCCTTGTAACTTAGTGCACATATTTTATTCATCCAAGTATATATTTTGCTTAGATGGCATGTCCAGCCAAATTTTTTTTAATAAAGATTAAATATTTTAAGTTAATTTTATTAACCTTGTTATAATATATTAATATTAAAACTTTTTCACTTAACGATTCAATTAACTTAATAAATTCAAAAATAATATGGATAACCAACAAAACATGGTTTGACTTAAAAAAATTTAAATAATTTATTTTTAAAAGTATTAAGATGATGGTATATTAGATCAGGAATTTTATTAAAATAAATTATAAAATTTAATTCTCAATTAATTAAAATTCAGTCGTCAAACTTTCTATTTGGATCATGGATTCTATTATGTATAATAACTTTATTTTTTAAAATTATTTTTTATTTAATACATGATAACAAAAATAAATGCTCACAAAATTAAATATCAATCAAATATGAATTTGTTTATTTGAGATTATGATAAATTTACATAAAATAATTCAAAATAAATTATGAATACTATTTAAAGTCATTCAAATATTAATGGATAAAATTAAAATAATAAAAATAATAATAACGAATAAAATTTAAAAAATAAATTAATAAAAAAATCACAGACAAAATAAAAAAAGAAAAAAGAAAACAAGACAGGCCCTACGCCAGGGTTATTATATTTTTTTTCCCCTCAAATTAGTACACTCATTTTGTTTTTTAAAGAGATGCCAACAATACATCATTTCTAGTTCATCTTTAACTGTTTACTTGACTGAAAAGTCAAGATTCTAGCTTTTTTATATATATAAATAAATTAAAATTTTAATATTATTCATCTAAAAATATCTTAAATACCTAAATAAATCTATTTATGGCATTAAATTAACACAACCAGTTAAAGAAAATGTAAATCAACCTATATTGAAAAATTGTTCCACTCTTGATAAAATTGTTCCACTCTTGATCTGTATTTTCAAGTAAGATTAAGGTCTAAAACCATTCCAATAAAATTACCCTTATTGAATAGAATAGAATGTTTTGGCACTAAAATCAAACTTTTTTATTATAAAATTGTGACTAATCAATGATTTTCTCTCTTTTATTATTATCTAATGATTTTTTCTTTCTTCTCTCACATGCAAGAACTAAAAAATAAATAAAATAAAATTTTATTTTAAATTTTTTTTCACACAACTTTAAGCTTGTTCATGGAATTTCTCATTGTTTTACATTTTGATTCTTTTTTGTTATTTTCTTAACAGATTTTTTTTAAAAAAATAATCATTAATTTAACCATAAAAAGCTACAATAGAAGACAAAATTGAAAATAAAAACCATGATATTATGAATTGCTACAATAATTTATCTCACTGTTTTAGCATATATTATAGTTATAATTATAATGTAACATCCAATTTTCATTTTAAATGAAAATGATTTGTTTGTGTCAATCTCCATTAACAAGGCAATTAGATGTCAATTAACTATTGATCATAACTGAGTAAATTTTAAAAACACAAAATAATTATTAATTAAAGCAATTTTGAATAAGTGAAACAAATACAAAGACAAAAAAGAAGGATTTCATGGTGCTCAGTGATAATCCATAGATACTTCCAACGTATATTTCTTCCCATCAGAATGTGAACTGTGATCTATAGATCTGATAAACAATTCTAAGTTAGGTGTTTTTGGGGATATGCTTTTAATTTATTTAACAACAATAATAGTTTTCTCCATATTCAGAGCCACCCTGTTGCTTTCCTCTTTCTAGTCCTATCAAGCATAACCCTCTGTAGATGTTCTTCTCTTACTCATTCTTATGGAACCTGTAAGAGAACGTGAAGGAGAGCTATATAACTTCTTTTCTTTTTCTTTTTCTTTTTTCTTGTTTTTTTTAGGGGGGTTGGGGGGGGGGGGGGTGTTAATAATATAGAGAAATGTACCTTTCAAATTAACAACACCAGTGCAATTAATGTCAACAAAGTCAATCATAGCAACTCCATCCCTTTTGATATTGCTAGATTCTGTCTGCCACGCCCGTAACAATACTTGTATTCTGCCTGATTGAAAGGTGTACCCTGTCAACAATTTTTTTATGAAAATCTCCTCCTCATGATTCCATTATATGGTGCAAATCGAAGAAAATGATTCAGACACCTCATCTCTCCTTGGCAAACTGCTGCTTCCTCCACCTTTGCTGTTCTTCCTGGGATCTGGACAGAAGATATAAATTAAACAAGGAAGATCCTTAAGAGAAGTTTAAACAAAGGCATGGCTTTCTTAGTATCAGTGCCACTCACAAATTGGTTGGTTATTGCCGTGGCATAGATCACCAATCCTGATATGATTTGCAGGCCACATGGCCGTGCTAATTAGAAAATCCTGACCTGCTAATTTATGCTGGATATTCTGCATGTGCCAGAGAGTTACTAATGACACCCACATGCAGGGAGGACATGGCTCCACCCTCAACTTCAATTTTGTTCCCCTGATAATAGATAACAAGCATGAACCAGCCGCCTACTTACTCTACGGGATCATTTTAAGAAAAACTAAACTATCGTTTAAAATTTGGGTGAGTCATTCTATGCAGCTGGCTACAACCTAAGAGAGAAGATATATATTGACCATGGTTGGATGAACACTTGTAACATTCTAACCTCCTCCTCCTCGTCTTCTTCTTTTTATTTTTTGAGAAATTACATTCTATGCTTTAATATGCCCACCAGTTTCTCAAATTGCTCAAGATACGCTAGCAATCTTTCTTCTCCCTCACCCTCCAGGAAAACAAAATAAGAACTAATCAGCAGTGATATAAATTAACTAATTAGTTAGTGAAAAACAAATGCTGTCAATTGCAATCAATGCAATAGTATGCAAATCATCTAGCACATTGATGTGCCCCTGTTTTCATTTTCATTTCTATCGAGAAAATAAAAAATCTCTATGAAGAATTGTTCAAGAAACAAAAACATACACAAGAATTCAATACAAAATAAATAAATAAATAAATTGCAAATTACCTGTCAACTGTCTAATAAACCACACGAGAGCATTTTCAAGTTGATCCTGCCAGTTCCAATTTCCAGCACCTGCTAATAAGAGAAATATTAGGTGTAGAAAGGTAGAGACTGGAAACTTTGAGAACGCACCTCCCGGCAACTAATTAATCAAGAACATTTTCAATAAATTCCAGTGGCATGTTGTGCTACAAGAACCTGCTAATAAGAGAACTATTAGGAGTAGAAAGGTCAAGAATGAAACTTTTGAGGCCTTGGTTATTAAAGAAAACATGAGACAAGAAGACACTAGTACAAATAAAGAATGGACTTGCACAGCACCTGCATTCAAGTTGGCATTGCTAAAAGCCTCAAACATTAAGACCAACGCCCCCAATCTCTAAAAGGCACCACATTCCACATGTCAAGGCATAGTTTAAGAGCTTCTCTTAAAGGATATTTATTATGTGACTACCATTATATCTGAGTGTGACCAATGTATTTCACCTGAAAAGGCATAAACTACTTGATTATATAGGCAATAAAAATGAAAAAGAAAAGGTACTGAATTGTTCAAGAGTAAAAGACAAACCAATAATGAGTAGCACAACTGATAGATAATGGAGGTTCATTCCAGCCTCTTCTGCTCTCCATAAAGCGGCTTAAATCCTCGTTTCCCAACCCAATCACATTGCTACTCCTCTAGATTTTTGCATCATTTCCTTCTGTTGTGCCTCAAGGACTTCAAATTCTTCATGGCAGTTATCAAACCCTCATCTATGCTTCCATTAAAATTCCAGGATATCATTCCCCTCTCCTGCAAATCCTTCAAAAGAATTTCACTCTTTACAAGACTAACCCCATTGGTGGAAATAGCATCAATGAGAGTGCAATAGGTTGTGGTGTTGGGCCAGAGGCCCCTTTCTTTCATCTCTTCATACAGTTTAAATGCAGCCAAAGCATCACCATCAGCACAAAGGCCTGCTATGAGAACATTGTATGCAACAACATCGAGTTTCACCCCACAAAGCACCATTTTACCCCTCAACTTTAAAGCCTCAGACAGTTTAGCTTTCTTGCAGAGCATGTGCATTAGAGTTGTAAAAGTAGCGACAGTTGGAATGAGCTGCTTCTGAAGCATGCAATCAAGAACCAGCATGGCTTCTTCAACCTTCCCACACTGGGCAAGCCCTCTTACCATAGCACTCTCAGCAACATCCCAGGAACTGACACCAATTGCTTCCATTTCATCTTTTAGCCTGAATGCTCCTTGTACATCCCCCATTCTACACATACCATTAATTAAAGAAATGTACTGTTTGCTTGTAGGAGTAATACCCCTCTCCAACATGTCATGCAGAAGAAGATGAGATTCTCGGAGAGCAGAGGCTCTGTTCAGTCCAGTAAAGATGGCATTGTAAGTATTTACATCAGGAATAATTCCAAGTAAATTCATAATATTCAACAGATCAAATGCCTTTCCCATTTTATCAGTTTCACATGAATTCGTGATGAGCATGTTAAGTGTAAGTTGATCAACTGAAGTATCTTCCAAGATCATCTTCTTTAACATTTTAAAACCAACGTCCAGCATACCAGACTTGCAAAGCCCAAGAATGATAGAATGGCAAGTTAATTTATCAGGTGAAATACCCATCCTTGTCATGATGTTGTAGAATTTAGAGCATTTCAACAAATCCTTTTTCTTTGAATACCCATGCAAGAGAATATTATATGTAGCCAAGCTAGGGGTCAGACTACGACTCTGCATCTTTATGCAGAGCTTATCAACCTTTTCCATTTTCCCCATCCTTGAGTATCCATCTAGTACTGCATTAATTGCAATAGTATCTGGGTTTATGCCTTTGTGCTCCATCTCTTCATAAATATATGAAGCAGCATTTGATTGACCAACCTTGAACAAACCATCAAACAAGCTAGTGTACATGACCTTATTTGGGGACAGAGTTCCTCTTGCCAGTGCTTTTTCAAAGAAAAGAAGAGCAGGCACCATTTTGCCTTTCCTACTTAACCCAGCAAGAATGATAGCATATGTGTGACTATCAGGCAGCACATTAAATTGGACCATTTCATCAAAAAGAGCCACTGCATCTGACAACTTCCCCCATTTACATGTCTCAGTGAGAATTGTATTGTAGATATTAGTGTCCACGGCAGCAGGAATATGGTGAAGTTTATACAGTAATTTCTTTGCCTCCCTCAAATTTCCACCCTTGCATAGCCCTTTAAGCAGACTACCATATGTGAAATGACTAGGGTAATGACCTAATTTAATCATCTCATCAAACATTGAGAATGCTTTCAGGGCATCACCCAAAATTCCATAGCCATTTATAATACAATCAAAAGTGATGGAGTTAGGGGCAAGATCAATTGTGCTCATATGACGCATAAAATCCTCTGCCTCTGCTACCCTTCCAGCTCTACAAAGAGAAGAAACCAGCACATTACAGATGAAATAGTCCACATCATGGCCAGTGCGAATCATTGTTGCATAGTTCCTGAATGCTTCTGTGATATCACCCTTTTTGCAGGAATTGTAAATTAAAGTAGCGTATATGACATAGTTTGGTGCAAGTCCAGCTTTAAACATTTTACATATCACTTCCTTTGCATTTTTTATTTTTCCTGCTTTGCAAAATCCATTTATGAGCACAGAAAATGTAATAATATCTGGACTTACACCATCCTTGAACATCATATAAAGCAATTGCAAAGACTCATCAAGCAATCCATGTTTGCATAACCCATCAATCATGGCTGTGTATGCTCTGTAGCCAACAACCATCCCACCCATTCTTATTCTCTCCATAAGGCTTTTGGCTACATCAAATTTCGCAAGCTTGGACAACCCACTTAAAATAGCCCCATAAGTAACTTCATCAGGCCTTAGTCCCTTTGCTTCCATCACATCCAAAAGCCTCAAAGCTTGCTCAAAATTACCACAATCACAATGCCCATCAATCAAAATATTGTAAGTAACACGGTTTGGTGAAAGGTTAAGCATCAGCATCTCATTAAAAACTCGAGTAGCACCTCCAATCTTTCCTTCTTTCATAAGTCCATTAATTAGAGTATTATAAGTGAATTCATTAGGAGCTATCATCCTCTTTCTCATCTTTTTCAACAGTAAATACCCTTTTGCACTTCTGTTGTTTTTACACAAATCATCAATGAGCATATTATATGTGCAGACATCTGCTTCAATACCCTTAGATTCCATTCTATCAATCAAATCAGAGGCTGCTTTATATCGCCCCTTCTTGCAACACCAATTAAGAATAGTATTATAAGTAACTATAGTTGGAACATAACCACTCCCTTCCATCTTTCTTAAAAGATAACCAGCTTCCTTAAGCTTCCCTTCGACACACAAAACATTAATCAATATATTAAAAGTAGCAACATTTGGACAAATCCTCCTAGCTAGCATTTCCATAAAAAAAGACCAAACCGACCCAACCCTCCGTTCCTTTACCACTGAACCAAGCAGCATATTACACGTATAAACAGAAGGGTTAAACCTTCTAAAACCCATCAAATAAAAAGTCTCTAAAGCATCAATAACCATTCCTTCTCTCAAATAAACCCTAATCAAAAGGTCAAAAACTGAAGGGTTGGACTTGCAAAGTGGGTAAGTGTTCATTAAAGCATCAAAAACAGATTTTGAACCAACACCCAGTTTAGAAAGATGCCTTAAAATTGACTTAGCAGCCTCATACATTCTAGCTCTCACAAGTACATGAGTAGAGATGGAGAGTATATGAGTAAGGTGATTGAGTTCCAAACCAGGTTGCTTAATGACCCAGTTGAGGAATTTCAAAGTTAGCCTCCCATGGACTGGCCTCAGTGAAGCTAATCTGTATTCCATGTGGTTTAGTGAGTCCCAGCGGTCTAGAGTCAGCATTATGTATATGCTCTTTTCCATTTCTGCTGTTCCAAAAATTCTAACTTTGAATGAGAATATGTTTCAAAAATACAAACTTTGAACGAGAAAACACACCACGACACACACAGAAAGAAAAGAAGGGAGAGAGGAAAGGAGGGTACCTGGGGATTGTTGGTGGGTGAAAGCAGAGTTTTTGTGATCATATGTGAAACTTTGTTTGGTATAATCAGAGAAGGGTATGTGGGAAAAGGGTCTAAATCTTGACAACTGAAGTGGGATTTTAGAGATTGTTTTGGCCGTTGAAGAAGATATAAAACAGGGCACCATCGTTTGCAGAACAAGGCTCTGTTTCTGTTTCAACTCGACTCAATATTGAAGGGAAGAACTATCTAAAGCAAATTATTTACATATCAGCTCTGTGTCTTATTTCCCAATTAATATTTCAATAGTAGGGTTCACTTTGTACAATTAATTTTTTTACTTTTATTTTTTAATATAAAATTTTTAACCTTAAATATTAATTTCATTAAAATAATTGATGAATAAATAAAAAATTGATTTCAAGTAATATTGGAATGTGGGTTCATTTTATATGATTAATTTTTTTTTATTTTTCAATATAAACTTTTTAATATAAAATATTAATTTGATTAAAATTGATTTCAACTAATTTTGGTCGGCATGATTTTAATAAACTTAAAAACTCCTTTTATCTAATGTGAGAAATGAATAAACTTTAATAAAAAGGTAAGAAGTTAAAATTGAATATAAAAAATATTTAAATTTTTAAAAATAAAATATCATAAGTAAAGTGAGTTTTAAACTTAAACTCCCATGTACTATTTAAATCCAAATTTAAGTTTGGGTTTGATGTAAAACAATTTTTTGTTCTAGAAAAAACTATTTATTTTTTATCAACATAATTTGAGTTTGGGTATAATCTATAAAAAAATATATTTTTATTAGCCTATTATTTTGTCCAGTTTATAAATAAAATTTGATAAACTTCATTAGTTTTTTTAAAATTATTTTTTCAGCCTGATTAAAATAATATTTAGTTATGAAATTTATTTTAATTTTATGACAAGTAATTAAGATGATAATAATAGTGAGAATTAGTGGAATTAACCTTCTTTTTTTTTATCATCAATTTTGGTTCCAAAATCTACCAATGAATAGTTTTTTGTATGATGTTTTTATAAAGATTCTACAACTCTTCTTCACCTATATTTTAGCCTACCCCTACTATTTTAAACAAAATTTTCTTCACTGTTTTCCTCACAATCTACAACTTAAGTGCAATGCTCATAAAGAGACATTTGAGTTTTATTTTCTTTGTTTATAGATATCATTTAGAAATGCATCTATATAAAAAAGTGATGTTAAGTCATGAGCAATAAAATATTAAAATAAAAGATTAATATTCTTAACAATAATAAAACTTCATTATATTAAAAATTGCTTCAATAAGTAAATATTCAATTTTATTTTAATTTAAACATATATATTATATGATTAGTATGCATGCTAAAATTATGTTTTAATTTCTTATGCAACTTTGGATATATACTCAAGTATGTATACTAGAATCTTTATATGTTTTTAGTTTTGATTGAATGTTTGTCATGATATATAAAATTTATAAGGTTTTATTTAAATTTATATGATCTCCGGTTTATATTTGGACATATAATTTGATTTATATGCTCTTGTATTAATAAACTAAACAATTCATACTTAATAGTAGTAATTTGGAGAACAATCTCAAAGCTTTATTTTGCTTGCAATTCCTTTGGTTTATAATTCTTTATAAATATTTGATTAATTATGAAAGAGGATTTTAACCACTTTAATTGTAATTTTAATTTTAACTTTAACTTTTAAACTTGTTGTCATATTCATGCAATTTGTATGAATATTTTTTTTTATTTGATACTTGTCATGTATCCTTTGAAATAAAGCATTTAAATCTATTTTAAAATCTACTTTCTAATCTTTGTTTAATTCATAAAAGTAATTTTACTATCTTAAATAACATGTTCATGTTAATTATGTAATTTGCTTATATAGTTTTATACTGATATAATACATGTTAAAATTAGAACTAAAAAAACACCTAATCTCTTAAATAAGAGAGGTCTTAAGTAAAGTGAACTTTAAATTTAAATATTTATGCATGCTCAGGTCTCAAGTTTGGGTTGAGATATGTTATAAAATCTTTTAAAACTTTAAAAGATTTTTTTTATTTTTTTTCCAAATTAATTCGGGCTTGGGTCTCCATGCATAATTATTTTTTGTTAGCCCATTGTTTTATTAAGTTCATGAATAAAGTTTGATCAACTTCATCAATTTTTCTAAAATTATTTCTTTATAACATAGACAATTTTTGCCTAAAAAATGTAAGATATAAAGCCAAAAATGTCAAGTCCATTTTTTATATGGCGGGTAGTTAAAGTTGATAATGAAAGGAATTACCATAATTAATTCTTTATTAATCTTGATTCTAAAAAGGGGGTTTAAGGAAGAGTTGTCTACATAGTTTTTTTTTTTATATAAATTTTAAAACTCTTATTCACCTCTGTTTTTGCTCTATATTTTAGCATATATTTTTTTTATTTTAAACTAATTTCCTACTTCATTTTTTCTCTTTTTTCTCTGTCAATCTAGAGCTTACATTCAGTTCTTGTAGAGAAACATTATGAAATAATTGGTGATGTCCTATAATAATAATAATATAAAAAGACAATTTGTGGTGAATGAGATAAGAATTGTTAAGAAATTCAGTGGTAAATATTTTATCTATAATAAGATTGTACATTTGAACAATGATTGCAAAAATAAAGCTTATCAAGGAACCCTAAAAAAGAAAGGACTACTCAAGTGAATATTATCAATGTCAATCAACTCAATAATTAAGTTTTGAAAAATATGTATATTTGTTTTTGTTTCAAAAATCAACCTAATCAATAATTCTGGGTTATGGTGGGTTGATATTTGTGTCACAAGACATGTATATGCCGAGAAAATGATGTTTTTTATTTACAAAAAAGTGTGTGAAGAACTACATGAGAAATTCATCAACATTCAAGGTATTAGTTGTTAGAAAGGTCATACTAAAAATGATTTCTAGAAATTTCTTACCCTAAAAAATATACTTCATGTTGCTAATATTAGAAAAAACTTAGAGTCTGACTCATTGTTGATAAAAAAAAATTTCAAGATAGTTTTTGAGAGCGATAAATTTATACTTTCTAAAATTAGTATATTTGTAAGGAAAAATGTATCTTAGTGATACCATTTTCAAAAAAAATATAATGATCATAGTAATCAACAATAATGATGGTGATGATAATGATTCCTTTTTCTCAAGTCTTGTGATCATGGCATGACAATTTAAGTCATATGAGTTTAATTCCATATAAAGGTTAATTAATATTGAATTATTAGCAAGTTAAATCATAAGTGTGAGGTTTGTATATAATCAAAATTCATAAAAACTTTTTTTAAAATAATTAAAATAAATAATGAACCTCTAGATTTAATTCACTCGGATATCATAATTTAAATTTTATACATATAAAAAGTAAAAAAAATAAATTATGTTATTTTTATGTATGATTACAAAAGTATTGGTATACCTATTTATTTAGAATCAAAGATGAGACTCTTGAATAGTTTAAACATTACAACAATAAAAATAAAATGAACTCAATAAAAAATAAAGGTAATAAGAAGTGATAGAGCTCATGAATATGAAACACTTTTTGGTTAATTTTATTCTTAATATGATACTATTCACCAAACTATTACTTTTTATTCACTTCAATAAAATAACATTATAGATTATAAAAACTAGACTTTAAAAGAAACAATAAATATTATATTTAATAGTTTAGGAGCACCTAAGGACTTATAAGAGATCTCAATTCTAACAACAATTATATAAAATAAGACATTCATATAAATTATGAAAGTGTAGAGGACCTTTCTATAAATACTTTAAAGTATGGAAGTGTGTTGCAAATATGAGAGTACTTGATCTAAAAAAGGCCAAGATGTGACCTAAAATTATGAACTATTTTTTTTATCTAATATGGTTACAATAGTAATGTATATTTTTTTTTTACACAAGTTAAATTTTAAAGACATTCATCCTAATGCTATAATAGAATCAAAGAATCTTATATTTTAGAAGATGTGTTTTCATTTGAGAAAACACAAAAAAATTATTCATTTAATAAAAAAATTGAAGCTAGCTTATATAATCATCATCATTTAAAGGATGATGAAGTTGATCCTAAAAGAAGTAAAAGGGAAAATACAACCAAAATATTTGATCCTAATTTTCTAACATATTTGTTAGGGAATGAAACTTGGAATTCTCAAAGATGATGTCTTGTTTTGAAGCTTCATATTAAAATAGGCATTCAATAGTGAAACTAAATCCATCATGAATAATCATATATGAAAACTAGTGAAACTTTCACCCAAAACTAAACCATTATCATATAAATATTAAATACAAAGCAAGACTAGTTGTTAAAAGATTTGAACAACAAGAAGGTGTGAATTATTCTGACACATATTCATTGTTTTAAGAATAACTTCTATATGAGTGTTTATAGTCTTTGCAACTATTAACAAACTTAAAATGTATCAAATAAATATAAAAATAAATTTCTTGAATGTTGACTTTGACAATAAAGCATATATAGAACACTCTGAAGGGTTCATGATTAAACAGAAAGAAAATAAAGTTTGTAAGCTTGTCAAGTCATTATATAATTTAAAACAACCACTTAATAATGGTATTAAAATCTTGACAATGGTATGTTGTTAAATGAGTTTAAAATCAATGAAGTTGATAAATGTATATATGAAAAACACAAAGATAAATATTATGTTATCATATATCTATGCAGACAATATGTTTATTTTGGAAAACAATGAGTACATGATTAAATATACTAAGAAAATATTAACTAATAAGTATTGCTCATGGAACGACATTGGGATCTCCTAAATTAATAGAAACCTTGAAAAAAATAAAGTTGCCATCAAGAAGTTAAAGGCAACCATGAATTCAAAATTATGCACTAGTTTCAGGAATTTATGTAAGGGATTAATTATGTTCAAGAAAAGATAACTATCAATTTTATTACCATGTCAAACAAAGTGTTACCTTAGCTATGTGTTTTCTTCTAAATTTATCTCATGCATGCCATTATCTATTTAAATTATTTCTTAAGTTTATTCATAATTTATTTATAATGATTTGTGAAAAAATTGATATAAGTCTCTAAAAATAAAATTTTTACCGATTAGGCATTCATGAAAATTTTGATGTTCGTCTATAAAAATAAGAGACATGTTATCTTCGTCAT